AGGAGGAGGAGGAGGAGAAAGAGAAGGAGAGGGGCGGCGAGGCGGGCTGCGAGGAGCCGCAGGAACACCCCGGCGACGGCTGCCGGGAGCCGCTGCTGGCGCTCACCCCAAACATTAACCATCTGCCGCCCTCCATCCTCCTCAAGGTGGGTCGGGCCGGGAGGCCGCGGGCTGGGCCTGCCCCCGGGGGACCGCGGGGGCTGCCGATGTCTCTGGGCGGGCTCGGTGGAATGTGGTAGCCGGAGGCGGTGGGGCTGAGGCGGCCGGCCCTGCCCTAAGGGGTCTTTTGCCACCTCCGGCCCGGCCTGGGGCCGCGCGTCGTCTTCCGCGCCGCCGCCTGCGGTGCCTGGCGGGGCCGGGGGTGGGGGGGAGCGGGGCGGCCCGCCGGCGCAGGTGCGCGAACAGCCGACCTCGGTCCCCTGGCGTTTGGGAGATGAACGGGGTTGTAGATGGGGTTTTTGGTTTTGTTTCGGTAGGGGTCTTTTACCTTTGTTCTGGTTTGTCGTTGTAAAAGGCCCTGTCAGTCGTTAGCTGGAGATGAAGACCGACAAAACTAAAACTATTCCGGAAGCTGCCCTGTAAATATTTTGGCTCGTACCGGTTAGCTTCAGAATGTGGCCCTCACAGATATCTTCTTACATCGCTGATGGAGTACACAGCAAGGGGGACAATCACTGTATTTAGTGCTTCTGTTTAGGTCAGAACTACATAGATAAGTCTTCAGTGTTGACTGGGAAGAAAGTTTACCCTTCAATCCTTAGCTAGACTTATGGATTGTGTTGGTGGTTTTGTGGTTTGGTTTTTTTTTTTGGGGGGGGGGGGGTAGGCACTGGTGGTTTTTGGCTCTGTAGTATCCTAGTCCATTACGGGACTTTTAGCTTCAGATTTCTGACCAGGTGTCTTGTTAACTGGATTATACAGGTGCCTAAAGGCCTTCGTATGCTGGGTTTTGATACAGATAGAATATCTCAACTATAATCCTTTCTCCAGTTGTGCCATTTTATTATAAGGAGGTGAGAGAGAAATACAGAATCATAGAATGGTTTGGGTTGGAAGGGACCTTAA